CACAGGCGGCCGCGGGGGCTGCATACAGGCAGCCGCGGGGGTTGCGCACAGGCAGCACACCGGGGCCTGCGCACAGGCGGTGCCGGGGGCTGCGCACAGGCGGTGCCGGGGGTTGCACACAGGCGGCCGCAGGGGCTGCATACAGGCAGCCGCGGGGGTTGCGCACAGGCAGCACACTGGGGGCTGCGCACAGGCGGTGCTGGGGGTTGCGCACAGGCGGCCGCGCGCACTACGTTACCCAGGAGGCCGGCGAGCGAGCGCATGTCCTTCTCCATCAGCGCGTAGATCTCGTCCTCGGAGAAGCGGCCGATGCCGTGGCCGTACATCTCCCGCTTCACGATGCCCTTCGTCAGGTGGCACAGGATCCACTTGAGCAGGTCGCTGAAGGGGCCGTACATGGAGATCATCTTGCGGGTCTCGTGGAGGTTCTCCACCCACTGGCAGTAGGCCAGCGTCCTGCAAGGAGGCGAGAACAGGTTAAGGCAGCGCCAGCCGCCCGTGGCCCCGCTCGGGAGAGCCCTTGCGGACAGGCGAGCCTCCCTCGCGCTGCACAACCCGCTGCCCTCACAGGGCGCCAGGGCCCTTAGTGCCATCAACGAGAACCATGCATGGCGCAGCTGGTTCTCCAGCCCTTCCGCAGGCCGCGCGGTGCTCAGTCGCTCCAGAAGCTGTGACCCCCTTAAGGAACAAGGGGACCACTGAAACAAGCAGGGCGGCACAGTTGTGTTAAACTGCCCTAAGACAGCGCCGTGACAAGCAGATGGATGAGCTGAGGAGAGCCAGACTGCCTGGAGCTGGGCAAGCGGGAGCCCTGTCCTGCCGACCTGTCCTCCCCGGTTCCTGCACTCCTGGAACTCTGCAGTGCTGCAACTTGGCCCCAAATAAACTCTCTCCTAGGAAACATTCCTTGAAAAGACACTGCTCTGCACAGAGACTAGCCAGGACACAGTCCTTATCCCAGAAGTCCCACGTGCAGTTGAGGAGGTGGTTGTTCAACTAGGCTGTATCTCCTGTGTTTTTTAACTGCCTAATGTTTATCTTGGAAGGGATATATTTCTAAGGGATTTTGTTGTACTTCAGCTTCATTGAGTGGCTTCAGCTTCATTGAATACACTAACTTGAAAACATGCTTTATCATTTTTTTTATCAGCTACAATTTATGTTCCTAACATGAATTTTTATTCTTCACTGCTTTAGCAGAGAAAGAAAAAGGGCTTGTTGCCATTGCTAGTTAAAAAATGTGTACAAAAAGAACCATTAACTTTTCTAATATTTAATACCTTCTGATAAGGGATATTTTAAAGAAATAAAAGAGACTATGCAACTTCTATCACTAATTTCACAGGAAAATGGAAAAAAAAAGGCTACAGAGCATTACATCTCAACGTAGATGAAACAAATATGTGAAGCCAACAGGAACTGACAAACATTTGTGAGCTTATAGCCATTATTTTACAGTATTTTCAGGAGTTTCCAAACAAAAAATCTAAAAGTGGACTTCCACACTTGACATTTTAGGGAAACAGGCCCACAGAGATATAACAAACAAGCGACATTGCACTGAAAAGTTGAAATATCAAAGGTACAAGTTTGCATATGCAAAATCTTTACATTAAATTCTTTCGCTCCCAAGACGATCAGAACTCAGTTTTTCTCATTTCTAGTATGACTTGGTTTTATCACTGCACATATTGCTAATTCCTTGTTATTTCCTTAGCGTCTACGCTGAGCAGAAACTCAAGAAAAATAATCAACAACCAAAAACACACACACAAAAACAAAGCAAAATCTGAGGAACTCCTACTTCTTACAGTGTGCTTTACTAATCCCTACATATCATAAACAGAAGTTGAATTTGGCCCCTCATCTCAGAAAACTACTTTTACACTATGACAGAAGTACTAATCCTTTAAGAAGCTGTTTTAACAGGTTCTTCATTTGAATTACCACTAGCATGAGGAAAAAGGAGGATATTTGCCCAAACGGTCTACAAAATAAGCAATCCACCTGCAGCTCAGATTTACAGCCACAGCAACGCGGAGCACAAAAGGCTGACTGCTGTTTCTGCGACACACTGGCCGCTGCGGGATAAGGTCGCCTCCTCCGGCTGCTGTCACGGAGTCGGGAATGGGGAGGCCCGGGCGGGCTGTGCTGCAAACACATGGACAGCGAGCGAAGGAAACCTGCCTGCTCCGCTGTGCATGGCTGCAGTCCTCAGCAAAATTCCCTACAAATTCTTTCATTGTATTACTCTGACAAGAAACATCCCCCTGATACTTGGATACAGCCCTTTGAATGGAAGTGCTTTACACCAGCTTCCTTATTTTTCAAAAACCTGAATTCTCCTGAAGCTGCTGGGCTAACAGCAGCAAGTGGAGCCTGAGAGCAGGCCAGGTATAGAAAGGGGTGCCAAAATAAAAGGAGGCACATGGCAGCAAGTAAAGGAGGCAGCAGATAGTGCCATAGTGGAACATGAGCTTGGGCCAAGGGCTGTAGTGCAACACTGCTTTACTCAACAACGGACAGAAAAGGTGAAACAAAACTAAAAAAGATGGGCTGACACTGGGCTGAAAGCACACAGGGCGCTGCTAATGCAGAACATTTCGGAGCTGCCGTTTCACGGGCGTGTGAAAGGACAAAACACCTCGGGCAGACACAACCTGGAACGGGAAGAAAGAATCTCGTCTTGCCGCTGTCATCGGGAAATAGCTACAAGCATTTCTGCATCTGCCTGCTGCTATGCGCATTGCTGACACAAGCCAAGAGGAGCTGTCCCCTGGAAGCAGCGCTGTGGGTCTCGCCCCAAGCCCCCTCTTGCCCAGCACGGGGGAAACCAGCTTCCCCGGCGGCTCTGCAGCACAGTCCAGGTACTACAACGGGATACCTGAGGTGGCCCGGCAGCAACGCGGGAGCAAACCAGACGGGAGGCAGGAGGCTCCGCCGCAGCTGCAGAGTCCTGGGAGGCCTCTCCGGCTGCTCCCTGCTCATCCTGCCCCTTGGATCTCACCCGACAGCGGGCTCTGCACCAAGCGCAGCGGCCGCGTCTGGGGCAGCTCTGACTTCATCAGTCGGGAGGAAGGAGGATCCCACAATCGCTCCGTGCTGTAAAACAGCGACGCTGCCCTGCGCCCACTTGGAAGCTCTGGGGCAGGAAGCATTTGGATGCGGAAGCGGCAGCGAGCACACGAGGAGCCTGACATCCCGAGGGAGATGCAGGGAGAGCAGAAGCCACTGGACACGCATGACGTGTCCCTGTCACCCACAATGAGCAAAGCTTTCCAGACTCCAAATCTGCGTGGGGGGAATGCAGCTAAGCAGACCAGTTTGAGTTTATTCCTAAAAAACTGTGGCCCGGAGTAGCCAAAGAAAAATGCAGAATCAGATTTAGAGACAAAGTTAAAACCACTTTTAGAACTGGCTTTACCAGACACTTCACTAAATAATTCCATTCAAAGGTTGATTACACTGTGCTTTCTACCACACACACACAAAAAAAAGCTGCTCTGCATTTAATCCCACTGTCATCCCTCTGCCTCAAGTTACATAAACAGGACATCAGCAAAGCTACAAAAAAGTCAGGAAATGGCAGAAATCAGGTAGCCTGTGTAGTCTAATTCAGCCTAATTATGTAATTTGCAGTACAGTTAGTGGTTATGTGACCACATAATTATTTTAAATATTCGCTTGAACTGAGCATTTGGGGAAATATTAGCATTTCCATTTGTGCCAGAACATCTGCACAATTCTTACACTATAAATACAAGAATAACACGTTAAGGAATAACACTGTAGGGAAGGAATAAATCTGAAGCACAGATATAGCAGCAGCTTTGGCCTTGTTATGAAATTCAGAAGAGATGGAGAACATGACTCATCCACAGTGGTTTGCCTGATCATCCCTACACTGAAATTAAAAGAAATGCATGGCAAGGCAAGGGAGGCGTGTGAGGATGATGTGAGCCAAGGGTTATTTTTCCCATGTGAATCCTGTGCAAGGAAAGGAGGGAGTTTGTGGGCTGGCATTTCCCGATACACCTAAGGATGTTAACAAGGTCACTGCTCAGGTGGCTGCAGAAATGCTGCTCGCTGTGCAGCTTCCAAGGGAAGCAGCTTTTGCAGCACTAGGTCTTCAACCTTGCCAAATGCAGGAGGGACAGCACTGTTATAACTGGCTTGATGCACTTAAACAGTGCTTATATTCTGTTTACAACATGGCCAAGTTCAAATTCCCAAAGCTGGGTTCACTTATAGCACCACATCCCGCTTTTCCTGCTCTTGGGGCACTCCAGCTTGGACAACACGGCAAGAGGGCACATTCACATGCGCCTGAGAGACAAAACAAGCAATAAGTTACATTAAAACATGTAAAAAAACCCCACTATGGCTGTGACAAAAACACTATTGTCATTGTGTTTGACAATACAAAAAAGGCAACCTAACAGGTTACACTGGCTAACCTCAAAGCTTTAGCTTCTCCTTAGGTGAATCGGCGTTAATGCCCCCGAGAGCCCTCTCCTAAGATTAAAGTAGTAGAAAGCACTTGCTAGCTAGGGCCAGTCCAAGCATTAGGGGTCCCCAGGAGCCTGTCAGGATTTATAAATAAATAAATAAACATTTAAAATAATAATAATAATAATAAAAAATATACTTTTGTAAAGGTAAGAGTAAATATTAAGTACCAACAGTTTTAGATTTTCGTTCGTTCACATGAAAGTTCATATGAGGTACTTCAGGTGGACACTACATTTTCGGGATACTGTGTCCTCCCAGCTGGCACTCCAGGACATTAACAGGACAATCCCGGGTTGAGAGGACGATCACACATGTTGCAATCACACACACAGATAATTAAAAGCAGTAAGAACAGAGGATTTGGGGTGAAGTCCAAGCTCTGTATTTGCTGGGAGCTCTCCCCTGTCACACCACAGAAGTAGATGCTCATCTTGACTCTTAGCTTTAACCGTTGGCTGTTTCTCCAGCTCCAAAGGCCCCGTGCAACAGGAGCGAGCGCCCTGGTGCTCCCTTCTGCAAAGGCTGCAGCTCCAAAGGGCCTCATTCCTCCTGTCACTTACACGGGGCCACAGCTCCCACAGGAGTCGCTCCGGATTTATCCTAGCGAGCAGAAAGATGGGTGAAAGCACCAGCTCCCTAGAGCAAAAAGACTTGCAAAACTCATAACCGAGCTGGGGTTTTCTGCAAAACAAACAAGCACACATTTCCACACAAGTTGCAGGTGCAGGTTTGACAGCAGCACAACAGAAGTGGCTTTACCATGCAAGCTTACCAATAGAAGTGCTCCTCCACCATTTTTGTCACTGCTCTGGAAACAGCTCTTTCATGTGGACCCAGGTTTTTATTTAAATTCACTCCAAGTTTCTCTTCCAAAAAGTCAATAATGAACTCAGTGCCAGACACCTTTTTGTGATTGTATTCAATCCAAGGCATTTTCCCTTGAGGGGAAAGTTTTCCATCAAAATAGTTCTAAGAAAAAAAGCAAGTAAACAAACAAACATACAGACAAAAAGGCCCTTGAGATTCTGTTTATATCAAAATAAGTATTTTTCTTAATAATAATTCTCCATGTTTTAAAGGCAACATTATCCAACAAACATTCCAGAAAGGACAATACTCTACTAGCTACAGAATGAGAGCAACAGTATTACTCTACATAAGAAACTATAAAAGCAGCTACTTCCAGGCCCTGCAATGCTTTTATACCAGAAGTTGTGTGCTCTAACACTGCTTAGGAACTGGGCGATTTACTCCAGAGCCTGGACACCCTCCCAGAGCCGAGCCCAGGGCTCTAAGGCCAGGTTTTCAGCTCCAGGAATAGCGCTGACATTGGCTCTCACACAGGGCGGCACTTTGCACGTGCTCAAAGATCAAGGCCCTCGCTGCTCCGAAAGCTGCCCCAGCTCTGAGGGTAAAACACAGCCCCACAGTGCACACACAGCCCCACAGTGCACACACAGCCCCACAGAGCACGGTGAGATGTGCCCCGTGCCCCGCTGCGGAGCGGGGACGTCTGCCCGTGCACAGGCCCCTACATCTCACAGCTTTGAAATTTCATGTATTTACAGACACACTTATTACAACTGGATCTACTGCAGTTCAGCACCTTTGCCAAGTACAACATTAGTCTACTGCTGTACTCATATATCTTCTTAACGTAGCATTCCTACAGGAATATTAAGGTATTGTCTGCTTTATACAGTTGAAGGAGGTGGGACATGGAGCTTAAATAGAAAATGTATTTCTCATTCTGACAAGCTCTACAGGAATCCCTGGCTTGTAAAATGTGATCAGGCATTTGACTCCAACTCTCTTTTTCCTTCTGAAAGTGGAGACACAGGGCACGACTGCTTTCCTTCCCTGGGGTTCATCTCCTGGTGTGCTGTTATTTAGAAAGAGAAAAAAAAAAACCCTGGCTCAGAAACACGAATCACAGACTCACAAATAACAGGCACTCTGAACCCAATACCCGTCAGTCACCCCAACTATTTTAGGGTCTAGTTCCTCAGCTGTGAATGTTTAGGATTAGCAGCTGTTTTGACTTTAGTATTAGTACATTAGTAATTAGTAATCACAATTAGTACATGAAGGGGGAATGTAGGGAGGAAGGGACCAAACTCTTCTCAGTGGTGGCCAGTGATAGAACAAGGGGTAATAGGTTTAAGTTGAAACACAGGCAGTTCCATCTCCATGTGAGGAGGAACTTCTTCCCTGTGAGGGTGACAGAGTCCTGGCACAGGCTGCCCAGGGAGGCTGTGGAGTCTCCTTCTCTGGAGACCTTCCAAACCCGCCTGGACGCCGCCCTGTGCCCCGTGCTCTGGGTGTCCCTGCTGGAGCAGGGGGTTGGACTGGATGATCTCTAGAGGTCCCTTCCAGCCTCAACCATCCTGTGATTCTGTGACTCACACTGATTAAGGCATCATTAAGACTCTAAGAGAGCAGACACCAGAAGGCAGCTCCAACCCAGCCCTCTCCCTGGGCACCCCACTCGGGGGTCTGGGCTGCTGCTCAAGCCACATCCACGCTCCGCACTGCGAGCGGCCGGCCACCTCCAAGTGCTCTTCCCTTCGGATGGAGGCAGGAGAAACGGGAACCACTGCTGGGAAGAGGCAGGGCCTCCCGCCGGCAGTCCCGGCTGGGCCTCCTGCCCAAGCAGAGGTGATGGCAGGAGGCGCCAGGCCCGCAGGCTCCCACCGACCCATCCACACGCGGAGCACAAGGCAGAGGGCTCCAGCTCAGGACGAGGGGACCCCACGGGTTCGGTCCACGGCAGCAGCCCCACGGCTGCGCAGCGCCCACCCGCCCTCACGAGGGGCCCTCTTGCTAACACATTCCTACAGGTATCCAGTGGAGAATCGTGATCTTCATCTCCTGGGATGTGCAATGTGTCTATCGAGCACTGCTCATTTAAGCGAGGTCTAAGGCCCAGGGGGCTTTCCAGTAAGACATATCCTTCGTTATTCACAAACACTGCAGAAGCTGCTGGACTTCATTAATGTAATAAAGTGGCTTACATGCTCTGCAATCCAGGAAAAAAGTAAAGTAAGTTCTTCCTACGTAAATACAAGCTTATTCAGGTTTTATACATTTTTATACATTTTTTAATAGAAAAAGGTTTTGTTAGTTTACTTCACTTTCAAAACCTTTATGGCTAAGGTTCCTATGGGAAAGTTGGTTTAGGTGAACTGAAAAAAAAATGCTCAGGATTTTCATGTTTTGTTACGTTTATTACAATTGTTACAATCTGTGATTCTGTGATTTAGTTTATCAAACAAAGCAGGAAGTGTCTTTTGATGATCTAAGGCCCCCTGAATCTCTGGACAAATGTTCTCTTATTCTGTTCTTGTATTCACTGTTCTCAAGCTGGTATTTTTAGGCTTGAAATCTTTGCATCCTTATAGCTACTACTAATTGCCATCAAATATTTATCAACTTTCCACTTAAAAACTGGTCCAGCTGCAAAGCAGGGTAGAAACTTTGGTAGCACCATAAGAAAAAAGAAAAAAGCCCTCTCATAGAACATTAACTGCAGCCTGCAAAGCAACTTTAATAAAAGCCTCTGGGAAGCTCTTTTATAGGGGAATTTATAAACTGAATGGCATAGGGCACTCTGGAGTCATTTTATAGTATTCTCCAGAAAAAAATAGGGCTCCAAATTCTGCTTTACTGCTGCTCATGTCTTACCTTTCTTCACGCATCTTCTCAAAGGGGTGATCATTTTCCTAGATGTCAAAGGAAACAGCATGTTTCTGCTGTGCTAATACTTATCAGTTCATATAAATCCTCAGAGCTTTAATATCCACAGGATAACCCCAGAAGATCTCCATAGGCACCCAAGATGGGTTCCTTCAAAACAAACTATACGAGGAGCTTCAAGTTCATACACTTCGGAGAAAAAAAACAGCTAGTTTATAGTGTTGAAGCCTAGCCTGGAAAGAGCTGCTTCAATTTTATTAGAGGGGAAACTTAAAACTAAGAAATATAGTTTCAAAAAATCTAAAAGAAGATATCTGGACCAAGTGGTATTAGGAAAAGTTTGGAATATTCCACTACACCCACTTCTCTCCTCCAGTGCCATTCAAACACTTCTGTGACCCCCAGCAAATTCTCACATACTCCAGTGCACTAAAGCCAAAGCACAAGGAATTAAAGGAGCAAAACCCCTGTGTCCTAAGCCGCAGCTGGCAACTGCTCCCGACTTTGGTTTCTCACGGCAGGTAGGAATTTTCGACAGGAACACTCCTTTGCAGCCCCTGTTTTCCATCGTTCCTCCTAAGCAGCCTCCTGCTGGGGGTGCCGACCCACAGCCCCACGTGGGGCAGCTCCCCAGCACATGGGGAGCGGGTGTCCTGTCCTCTGCACGGCCTGTGGTAGGGGGCAAAATAAAACCAAGAAAGAAAAACAAAAGTCTCCGGGTAGCAGATTCCCTGTTGGCCACTAATTCCAGCTCCAAATCCCTCTGTTTCTCCTCTTCCCTCCAACGACACGGTGTTCTCAGTGTCCCGTTGCAGTCTGCTCCTGCTCCTGCTCCTGCCCTGCCCTTCATGGCCAACAGCAGCACCGCGCTCCCACGGCAGGGACGCAATCCCTGATTCTTCCGGATGAGAAAAGCTGTTTCCTCAGCTCACAGCTTACCCGCACCTCTAAACACGCTCCAACCCTGAAATTCCACGCAAGGCTGCTCACCAAGCAAACAAGGGATGAGATGCTCTTGCAGCAGGGGAGCCAACCTCCCTTCTGCACCAGGAGCTACCGGCATCAAGACTCCCTACTGAGCAGCATGGAGCGAGGGGGGGCAGTGACCCACAGCAAGCAGGGCCCCGCTGCTCAGCGCTGCTCTCTCCTGTTCCTCAGGTGAGGTTTCCTGCAGCAGCGTGAGCACCAGCCTGGCCCGGTGACCTGACCGCACTGCGGGCAAGAGGCACCTCAGGACAAGGCCACGAGGGGACTGTGCTCCACCTCCTTCCTCTGTTTTGACTCCTTTTCCACTTCTTTTTTTTTTTTTTTTACAGAGTATGGCAGAACAAAATTAAGGACAGCACTTCCGTTTAGGCTGAGAAGAAGGTTCTCTGCAACAGGGCAGGCTGGGAACACTGGGAAGCTGGGAAGCCAAGCCTGCAGCAGGGAGCACGAGGCGCCAGCCCTGACGAGCCACGGAGCCGCTTCCGCACCCAGGGCCGGGGCCCGGGCGGCCGCTCCGGCCACTGCTGCGCAGCCCCACAGCAGCTCCTGCCCCTCGCCTTCCCACACCCCGGCTGCCTCAGGAACGCTGCGAGCCGGCAGCGCTGCTCCCGAGAACAGCCCACGGCCGGCGGTCCCGCTCCCGGGAGCAGCCGCGGGTCCCATCTCCTCCCGCCGCTTGCTCCTGCCCCGGGCACCAGGATCCGCACGGGCAGAACCCAGGTCAGAACTTCACACACTACCCGTTCGTGTCGCTGCCTGCTCCCATGCTCACCCACCTGGGCTTCCCAGCCTGACTTCCACGTGGAACAGGGAAGCACAGGCTGGGAAAGGGCAAGAGGGAAGCGGCAAAGGGGGCTGAGAGGCCAAGCTGTGGCTCATGGGGGTCGCGCTGATCCACCCCAGCTCAGGCACCCACAGCAGCTTACCTGCTCTTGGAGGGAGCAGCGGGAGCAACAGCAGAATGCAGTGGTTTATCTGTGGCCAGATCAATTCCTTACCGAAAAAAACAGGGGAAGAATAACTCTCTAGAAAGCCTTCCCTCTCTAAGAGGGCCCACCCAAGTGTAAAACATTATCTTTCAGAAATCAAGTTCTGTGACAATCCTCTTCTATACTACAACTTTAATTACTCTCCACTAAGGCACTTGTAATCATGACAAACCTCTGAACTGCACAAACAGAACACAGATTCCACCAAAAATAGTTTTCCCTTCAAATGTGCAGTTTCTACCTATATTATGCTGCATCTTAGTCCTCCTGACCCTGTTCAAACTTCAGTATCTCACAGATTCTGTAAGCTAAACTGAGGAAAGTGCATCCTGCGGCCTGGAAATCTCTCTGCAATATGCTGCAGTACTTGATTCAAGCCTCATTAATTTTAAGATCATGGGCATTAAATTTCATGCTTTAAAAGGTAGGAGTGCTTTCATCAGATTAGAAAGTAGGATATCCATCACAAACACGTTAAAAATTGTAAAAGGCCTTATTTCCCTTGCAATACATTATACCTTAAAAAGCATCCTTCATATAGCTTAACATGCACTAAAATACAAGGAATCTGAACCCACTTGGGGTGAGCGTGCAACTTCCCCACAGCTCAGCCCCTTCCGGACAAAGCCAGGTCCCAAACTTACTCTGCTTGAAAAACAGAGCCATTTCCCACATATTTCTCCTGCCTAGGCTCATTATCGTATTTCTCATTACTGTTGTATCATCTTAAATGCACGTGATGTATGTCTATAAACAGGAAAAAATGTGCTCATCCTGTGTGTTGCACTGTGCATAACCTCTCTGCCACCACTGCAACAAAGCCAAAGCCAAACGGGTGGCAACACAACTAAACCCTGACCTGTGCAAACATGAGAGCTACATCCAGATCCTGCTCTCCCGTCGTTCACTCCCTGCAGCGGCCTGAGCTCCATCCCCTGTGGAAGGACAGCACGGGGTTCTGCTCAGCGGGACCCAGCTGGAACACAGGGTCCAAGAGCTCCAGAAACAACCCCATTTTCCTTCACCTGAGGGAGGCACCCATGACAAGGGGTTACATGAAGGGAACACACATCTTTCAAGGACAGCACAGGAGAAAAACCCAGGAAAATAAGAACTTTCCCCTGTGCAATCCTGATCTCCTTAGCATGGTGAAAATCAGAGACCAAATAACACTGTTTCAGTTTTAGGGTATTATTTGGCATTATATAAGCTCCATACTACTCTCCCACTTAAGCATTTCTAATCGGAATTAGTTTCTAACACTCATTCAGGTTTGCCAACTAAACCTACAACTGCTTAGACCAACCTGCTTATCCAGTCATCCCCTTAAAGGCTACAGCACAAATTTGGCTAGAGAGGATGCAGCAGCAGACTACCCACCTCACTGTACGTACGTTTCACATCTCCTTCCATGGGGCAGGCCCTTGGGGATATATTTTTTCTTCCTATTTGCCATTTCACATGATAATAAATAACTGCAACATGAAGAAACGGTGTCTAAATTTACCTGGTAGGGTAGATCAGCCATCCTTAGGTAAGTTTCCATTTTCAGGCAGAAAGGAGATAGACTTGGAACCCCGTTGTTAGGCCTTGAAAACTGATGCAGTATAATGGCATCTTTGGAGTCAACCTCTTGCTCTTTCCTGGCAAAAAGAAAATAAAAAGGGGGGAATTAAGGAAACAAACAAGTGCGTCACACATCAACATATTAAACACACACGGCAGAAGCCCTGGCTGGGGCAGAACGTACATCCTTCCTTAATGGACAGCTGCAATCGCTTTTATTTATTTATTTGCTCATTCCCGGCGCCTGGAGTCACCCAGAAGCCCTCAGGTCATCGGAGCGGGCGGCAGGATCAGCTAATTCCAGCCAGGGAGAGCTGGGAGAGCTGGAAACGGGGCGCGGGGCGCAGAGCCCCTGCGGGGGCCAGGCCCGCGGGAAGGGCCGGCCCGGGGCTCTGCGGGGGACACGTGGGGCCGCAGCCCAAGGCCAGGGGACACGGGGGACACGCGGGGCCGCAGCCAGGGGACACGCGGGGACACGGGGGGACACGCGGGGCCGCAGCCCCGGGGCTGCGGGGACATAAGATGGCCGCAGGTGCGGCGAGGCCCGAGGCTTCTCCTCGGGGGCTGCCAGGAGGCCCGGCCGCCGCCTCGCGCTCCCGCCGGGAGCCATGAACGCGCCGACACCGTTTCTGCGGACACCGTTTCTGCGGACAGACACCGTTTCTGCCCGCGCAGGGCGGCCCGGCCCGGGGTACCCGCGGCGCGCAGCACTGCGGCCCTGCGGCCGCCGCCGCGCCCTTCCCGCGGCCGCATCCCCATCCAGCGCGACATTCCCGCGGCGCTCCCGGCGCATCCCCATCCAGCGCGACATTCCCGCGGCGCCCTTCCCGCGGCCGCATCCCCATCCAGCTCAGCACTCCCGGGGCCCATCCCCATCCAGCTCGGCATTCCCGGGCGCCCTTCCTGCAGGGGCATCCCTATCCAGCTCGGCATTCCCGACGCGCTGCCGGCGCATCCCTATACATCGCAGCATTCCCGAGGCGCATCCCCATGCCGCTCGGCACTCCCGGGGCGCATCCCTATCCAGCTCGGCACTCCCGGGGCGCATCCCCATGCCGCTCGGCACTCCCGGGGCGCACCCCAACCAGCT